ATACTGTTAGCATGATCATCTTTCTAATGTTAAACCACCCTTGCAATCCAGAGAATAAATTTAATTATAACCTATACAATTATATTACATTAAAAAATGAGAAAAATACATCTGATATTTTAAATTTTTCAGCATTCACAAATATTTCTGTTAATTGGTTTTCTAGTTTCTAATGAGCAGTGTTTTAAAAGAATGAAAAATTCATCCTAATATACTTTTTTTTAACAAGTTGTGGCATCCTTCTTTTAGGTAACTATTTAAAAGTGAAAAATTTACCACCCTTCAAGCCAGAATTTATTCCAAAGTTACTCTATTGACTTAATTCTCAATGAATTTCCTTTATGTATTCGGTACCCCGCCCCCCCGCCACAAAGTACTTTACATTAAACTCAGGGCCTCATACTTTCTAGCCATGAGTTCTGCCACTAAACTATATCCCAGCTCATTTTGAGACAGGTTCTCCCTAAAGTGCCCAGGCTGTCCATGAACTTGCAATCTTCCTGCCTCAACCTCCCAAGTAACTAGGAACATAGTCACGAACCATCACATCTAGCTGCATATGGTATTTTTAAAGTCAGGACATAAGATCTTATATCAAATTAACATAGTAATACAATACTTTAATAATGATTTTGGTAAAATTGATTAAAAAATACTTCTAAGTATAGTTACATGGAAAAACTTAAGTGTAGTTGAGTATATGATGGTGCCCACTTTGTGTTATTTAAAATGATTTTCCTCAGATTTCTAACCTATTTTCAAAAGCAAAACACACACACACACACACACACACAAGCATATACTAGTTGTATATACCATTGTATACTATAGCTGCATATGGAATTATCATGCTGCATCACTGTTTTGTGTCATAAAATGTTCATCTCACTGGGGTAATTCTAGCTTTAAAAAAATCTGTGGTTAAATTTAGTTAATTTTATGTAATATATGAAACTTAAAATTCAGAACATGAGGCCTTTAAGTAAAATCTAGAACATCCATATAAACGTGTGACCTTTTTATTTCAGTAAATTTCAGATCTATGACTATTTGCTTATTAATCCTTATTTTACCTTTTGATACCATAAATAGTGATTATATGACAGAAATACCAATCACATTGAGAAATCCTCCTTTCATTGACAGTTGGAACAGAAGAGCACTGGCACTTAAGGACAAAACCATTACATTAAGCTCACAAAAACATTTAGTCTCTAAGAGGTTATATAATCAAGCAGTATTACATTTACTTTGTAGGACATTTAAAAAACTTGCTATAAGCTATAAAATTATTTTGCTTTGGCCAAATCGTTTTCAATTTGAAATGGTAAATACTTATATGAATAACTGAAATTTTGCTGTTGTTAAATTATTTTTCTATGTGATATGAGGATGTCTGATGATAATTCAAAATCTCCCATTTTTCCTACTTTTATTCAATATTATACAGGAAGCCCCAATCAGGTCAGGCAAGAGAAAGAAATGAAGGGCATCCAGAAAAGGAGAAAGTCAAATTGTTGCTTGCAGATGACATGGTCTTATATACAGAAAACTCCAAAAGGTCTACAAAAAAAATTGGCATTTCTATATGCAAATAGCAAACTATCTAAAAAAAAAAAAAATCAAGAAAGCAGTCTGATTTACAACAGCTATAAAATTTTGACTCATATTTTTAGGGATTGTTTTTGTAGGTATCATAAAGTTAAGGAGTCATGTTAAACTGAATGATTGTGATCAGTTTTTTAAAGTGCATGGTTATCAACTTGGTAGGTTCTCCGATGGCTTGTGACTTTGTCATTTTTAGAGATTAATTTTTTACTAGATATCAGAGCTAATATATGATTATACCAGTAGCAGAAAAAAGGGGAAAATCACCCAAATTACAATTAAAAAAACTAATTTTTTGTGCATCTAATGTATGCATAACAAAAACTCACAAATTTTAAACGTACATAAAGATACCGACTTTTTGAATGCACATTTCACTACAGAAAATACATAAAGAATGCTGACTACCACCTTTCATCAATTAACACAGAATAAAAATGTTTCATAGAGATGTGATTTTAATATCTAAGATACAATAATGTATGTATGTTTTTGTTAGATGAAAATTACTCCATTTAACAAAAAAAACAAGTTAACACATAATTCAGATAAGTGTAATAGCAGCAGTTCTTGATAATACTGGTCCTTAAAAGGAGAAATAAAATATTTGGCTTCTATATAATCAAAATAGACAGATGAAACAACAAAAATGAATAACTTTCAAAAGAATCCATTATAATTCTTGTGATACATGTTATATCATGTGTGTTTTAAGTTCAATGAATTCACACATATAGACTTTTAAAATAAGAACTCAATTGTTTGTTCTTTATTTACTTGTGATCATTACCATCAAAACTGTTAGATAATAGAGGCAGTTGTTTTGAATACTTGAGATTATGGAAGCTTTCTTCTTTAAGAAGTAACAAAATTATTTAAAAATTTGGTATCTGTGGGAGATTGGTTACTGGAGTGAGTAATAAAATCTGCAAATGCTCAAGTTCCTTTTAATCTGCATATAACCTTTGTGCATCTTCCTGTATATGTTAAAATCAACTTTGAATTATTTTAATACCTAATACAATGTATATACCAGTAATTGCTTTACTGTACTGTGTAAGAAATAATGACACGAAAAACCAGTTTGTACATGTTCACTATAGATTTAATTTTTTCCCCTGAATATTTGCAATTGGCAACCAGTTAAATCTGTAGATCCCGGACATAAACTGGTTACTGAAATTATTTTTTTCAAAAAGGCAAAAAATAGATAATTACAAACTGAGCCAATATGAAAAGATATTCCAATCATTTTTGCTTTGACAATAACTTTTTACAATGACTACAGAATCTTTGTCATCTTACTTTGAAATTTTATTGCTACTAACCAGTTAGGGGAAAGGGTTGGGGAGTCAGGACAAAACAGAGATTAAAAGATGATACAGTGCATTATCTATGTCTGCGGTGAGAACAAGAAAGAGGTGGCATCCCTTCTGAGAACTTGATCTTTTCACATGCTTTCCCTTAATCTAAGAACCTCATAAAATTCATTTTCTATCATGGCAGATTCAAATATACAACATAAGCAAGCAAAGAAGAAAATCCCCTGTATAGTAAACATTTATTTCTCCAACAAAACTTAATAAAATATAGTATGTTATAAAATATTATTAAGTATGCATTTATAATTTATTTTAAAGTAACATATAGTGGGTAAGTGGATATAAAAAATCCACAGGTTATAATTGTATGTTTGTTCCTATGAAGATGCTTGGTAATATCAAATATCATTATACCAATTTATCCTTGTGACTTTCTCCAGAAAATCTTTAATGGTCTGATCATTGTCTGGGAAACAGAAAATTCTTAATTAAGTGAGTTTGTTAGCCATGCTTTCTTAAAAACATGATTTTTACTTCAAAATCACTGTTAAAAAATAAATTTTATCACCTGGGAGACAAGTTTATGATAAATCTCAGTGTTAATTTGTTTGTGAACATCTATACTCAGAAAATTTATATTATATATATATATATATATCACTTGTTAGTATTACCCTATGGCTTTTTATAATAAAATTAAATATCTAAGAAATAGTATTTATGTAAAAGGATGTACTGGATGATTTTTAAATGTACTTATAGTTACAAATACAACTATAACAATGAAGTGCCTTTTATTATTATTTAGTTTTGAACATCTTCTCATCAACTTGAACCACCAGTGGCACATGCGTGACTATTTCATGGGGCAGCCGTGGTGGTAGAAGTGGTACAGTCAGGCATGGGACAGTAATGTGTGTACCACTGGTGGTTCAAACCACTCAGCAGGGAGACATATGAATTATGCCCCTCTTATTAATGTGTTATTAAAGACATTGACTTTTAGCACACAAATGATCCACTTTCCACAATATGACAGTTATTGATTACAACTATTTTAGCCTGATGAGATACCACAAAATGAATTAATTTTAAAAATGGGAATATGTATCATGATATACATGAATTTAAACTATTATCTTCTCAGGAATTGCTTTAGATATAAACAAGTTTTTGTTTCCATGTCTGTAATATCTGAAATGGTAAGTGTATGTTCTTTGCTATTTTTTGGTAAAACACAGAATGTTAAAAGACAATCCAATGACAGAACTAACATTCTTCTTTCTTAGCTAATAATATCTGGTGACTATTATATTTTAAGATGTAACAGAATAGTAAGTTAGAGATTGACAAGGTATACTGAAAATAATAATGTTTGGGGCATCATAAATTCATGATAATTGTGAAACACTTTCTTAATAATTGAGATATAGTCATTAACGTCTATAGAAGTGCTTTGTATAGTTCTAAAATCTGGAACACTGTACAACATAGTAAAGTAGAAACACTAAACATGCCAAACACTTAGCATGCTATTATTAACTGAAAATCTTCAAATGACTGTACAGACTATAGTCTTCCTTATACAATACGATTCACAGTAAAGCTTAATGTATACAACTTAAAACACATAATAGACTATTTAAAGTGGTTTTAGATTCACAGCAAATCTGAGAAATGATTATATTTTTGAGAATTTTATCACAGTAAGAGTTATCTAGAGTCTTTAGTAATACAATAAAGGAAACAGAATCAGTGAAAAAATTAGAAACAAAATCTGTTACACTATCTTTTTTAGGTCTTGTTTTTCTTTGTTAGATATACCAAATATGCATACAGTACTATATCTTTGGGCCTAGGATACAAATGGGAATTAGCTGTGTGATAGCTACTTTATGTAACACAGGCATTTATCTACTGTGAAATGAAAATTAAATTTTCATCCTAGCAAATTTTCGATTTTAGTAAGAAAGGTAGCAAATTATGCCATGAGGTATGTTATTTACACAACTTTTCTCTACAATATTTTCTTAGTCCAGTATTTACTATCTTTAAAAAAGTAAAAAAAAAACTTTAATAAAGATAACAATAATAGTATATATTGATTTTGACAGTACTGTTCCAAAATTGAACAGAAAAGGAACGTATTTCTTGAAATTAGATGATTTTAATATTAACCTTTAATCAGTCCCTTAAGAAACAGCCATCTGATCATCTAATACATAAGTTGTTCTATCCTTACTGTACTTTTCAGACCATTTGCGAGTAAGTTCTAGATAATGACTTGGTTTATGAGGCCGATAATCTAAGTACACAGTATTACTCGTTCTTTTGGGAACAGCTTTCTCAATCTGGGTTCCTTCATGCCACTCATTAAAAGAGGTAATAGAAATTAAACTTGGGTGGGTCTGTAGTGCAGCAGCTAGACCGACTTCATAATACTTTCCATTGATTCGGTTCCGTGTGTTTTGAGTGTTCCAAGGCCGGATGCTGGTGTCTATGTATCCTGGACCCACACTTGGGATAAACATTAAGTTGTATTTATCACAAAAGAATTTTAGGTTAGCCCAGTTCTGATGTGAGGAGCCATAAGTAAAGCCATTTGTGGCAAAATACGTATAAATACCATCAAAACCACTTTGGAGAATATCATTTTTATGTTTTTCTTCTACTAGAAGTGCTATAAATAATCCATCATAAGGGGAATTTCGAACACTATGAGACCCTGAAGTGGTTAACAGATTGGCCCATTTTTCAGGCTTCATGATATAGGAATCGTACACATAAAACATAGGAAGAGATTTTCCAGTCCTTGTCTTATACCTGTAAAAGGCTGGATGATTTCCGTATCTAAAATATAAACATATGTAAAAATGAAATGAACATTCACAATTTGTCACAGACAAAAACTGTTTGCATATTGAAAATTAATCAGTGCAGTTTAAGTACACTGTTCCCCTTCTTCAAAAAGTTAGATATATAATAATTTAAAATGCATTTTAATTTTCTACATTATAAAATCAGTTATTGGACATATTACCAAATAAGTAATTAATTATCTCATATTCAGTTTTACAAATTGATTAATGCCCTAAAAAGCCCATAAATACATGAATACATAAATTTTATTTGTATAACATATGTTCCTTTATTGCTGACAAGTATGACATCTGTCAGAGATTATCAGTAAATTCCTTTAACAAATGAAAATATATTAATAAATGATTTCTTTTAATCATGCTAGATATAAATGGAAGACATAAATAGTATAGAAGAAGTCATTCATATTTCATAGTCTGAACTTTCTTTTTAAAAAGGCAACATTTTCATATTTTAGAAATAATTTAAAATATCAATAACTGAAATCATAAATAGCCTTATAAACATGTAAAACAGTAAAAACACAAATCTTTACTCATGCAGAAAGTGAACTGTAAAGCATTTCAGAAATAGTCCTGAAAATAATTATGATTAATTTCAAAAAGTTTAAATTTATTTAAAATGTCAAAGCATAAGCCATTTAAATTTCTCAAATATAATTTAAATTTACTATTCTATATCATATGATTCTATATAGCAATATTATCACTGGGTTACATAAAAGCAATTATAAATATAGAAGAAACTCACCTGTCTATAATATATTTGACATTTTCATACATGTTTTGATCATCTCGATTGCTATAGGGTTCTATGTGAAAAGTGACCTAAAACAGAAAAAAATCAATGAGAAAAAAAATTACCTCTAAAGTAAAATTTAAAATGAGTATATTCCCTCTATTTAATAGAGTGACTGATTTAATAAACAATGAGTATTTGTTGAGCATAGAAGTACTAGAAGATTCTTAATAATAACATTTACTGGAGTGGGGATTTAGCTTAGTGGCCTGCCTTACAAATGTCTAGAGTTCGATCCCTGGTACCAAAACAAACAAACAAACAAACAAAAAGAAAAACCAACAACAAAAATTTACTGAAGATTTCTTCTGCTAAATAAAATGTGAAATACATTACATTTATTACTTCAATTAATCTTCACAATTCCATAAGGTAGTTACTGTTATTATTTCGATTATCTAATAGAGGCAATTAAAAGTTCTGGTAGGTTTAGTAATTTGCTGGGTGTTACCTAGTTTTACTAGAGCTCAAATGTTCAGCCATCATGAAAAGCTTCCGTGAGTTTATTCTTTACAAGAAAACATATTACATACAGCGATACTCCTCATGACAGTATACAGGGTATCTTAATTGTGTTCTAGTTCATGAGACACAATTTCCAAAACCTGCAACTGAAAGGAGGAGAGGCTTATTTTTGGCTCATGTTTTCAGATGTTTCAGTCCTTGAAGTGGCATGGTGGAGGAAAATTGCTCACCTCATGGAAGACAGGAAGTAAAGAGTGAAAAGAAGAGCCAAGGAGAGAGATACAAGCTTCCAAGCCAGATCACTAGTGACCGACCTTTCCCAACTGGACCTCACCTCCTAACATTACATTTAGGTATACTCATCAGTTCACTAACCCACCAATGAGTATAATGCCCCCATCTTCCAATTACCTTCAAAAGCCCTACTTCTGAGTGTAGGATGCTCTGGGGGACACCTAGATATAAACTATAAAATAGAGATACACTATGTATTCAGAAATTTTAAACAACAAAGGACAAATAAAGAGCATTGTCCAAAATAATTTGGAATATCTTTTCAGGTGTGTGACCCATTTACACTTCAGTGGACTGAATCACATATTTAAGTGATAAATTATTTTCTACTATTAAGCAGTACTTTATTGAAAATTTGTTTAACTTCTATTATCTTCAAACCATTTACAATAAATTATTGGCAAATACCTAACAATGTTAGAAAGAACAATTTTCTTTATTCCTTTTATTTTTTTGGAGACAGAGGCTCACTATGTAGCCCAGGGTGGCCTTGAACTTGCAGAAGTGATCCTGGCTCAGCCTCCCAAATTCTTGGATTACAGACATGTGCCACCAGGCCCTAATTCTTAAATTATGACATGGTTTGTATGTCTCTATCTTAACAGTACAGTAACTAAAATTATTGTTATTATTATTATTATTATTTGTACCAGGGATAGAACTTGGGTCCTTGCACTTGCAAGGCAGGTGACAGAACCACTGAGCTAAATCCCCAGGCCATAAAATTATTTTTAAAATACTGTGTATAGATGTAATTTTTTTTACCTGAAAGTAGCTGTTATGTATACATCAAAAAAAAACTATGGCTAACGAAACTACTTTATATACCAATTTTAACTAGTAACGCAGACAGTACAGATATTTTAAGTGAATCAATTTACAATTTTTAAAACAAAGAATATAAGGATTTTCACTTTCATTTCTACTTTTTATTAATTACCAATAGCAATTAAAATCATATCAAATAAACATATTTGTACTGTTTTAATTTTAGGTATCAGGACTTATAAGTACTTATGGAATTAGAGACTTCTTTCTTATTCCAGTATAAAACTAAAATATATAATGCATTTTGTATTAATCAGGGCTGCTAGTTTTCAGAGAATTTTAAAGTCAGAATATTTGATAAAAACATTCTCTCTCTTTCTCTCTCATAAAATGAAAGCACAGTAACACTGCAGAAAGATGGTCTGGCCATATATGCACACCCATGTTTGAAGCGGCACAGTTCATAACAGATAACACTTGGAAACAACCCAAATGCCCATCAAATGGAGACTGGATAAAGAAGATGTGGTTTTTCTATAAAAAGGAGTACTACTCAGGTATAAAGAATGAGATAGAGACATTCATAGCTAAATGGATGCACAATGAAGTTATACTCTTAAGTGAAATTAATAGGACACACCTGAGTAAATACTGAATAGTTTCTTTGGTGTTAAAAACTAAACGTGTAGATACGGCTCAAAATGTATAACTGATAGTATGAAATAGGAAGAAAACAGCTAAAGGGGAAGTACAAAGGGGAGGGAAAAGGGAATAAGGGAAAAGAAAAAATATGAAAAAGGAAAAAATTGAAACAAACACTTTGTAAACAGGGAAGGGTGAAAGGGGTGAAGGGAGGGCAGGGAACTGGGGAAAAAAATAAGAACCTAAATATACCACGTAAAGGTACAGGATCCCAATGACAAATGTAAATGTAAATACATTGTTTGCTTTAAATGTACCGATAAACTTAATGGGGACAAAAAAAGTCTGGCCAGATAAAGATAAGTCTCTCCATTCCTCACCTTCATCCCAGCATACCCTTCATTTCCTGCTGCAAGAATGAGGTAAATATTTTTTTACTCCTATGTAGTGTCATAATATAGTGTTTTTTTATTTCCTGAAATTTGTTTGTGTTTATATCTGACCTCCTGTGGATTGAAAGTCCCTTAATGACAGTGATAGTACCTTATTCTTCTTAATGTAACCCTTATGTGGAGCATCTTAAACACTAACTATATCTAAAGCAGTATCTGGCACATTGAAGGTACTAAATTAACGAATGCATACATAATGAATAGATGAGTGCTTTCTATGCAAAAACAGACAACAGTTAAATGCTAGGTCTGCCATTTATACTCCATTTAAGCAATATTTTCCAAGGTTGCATTACAAATTCACATTATTCATTTAAAAATAAGAAAATAAAAAAGTCATAGATAATATGTTTCAAAAAGAGTGAAGAATCGTTTAAAAAAGAATCACAGATATATTGTATCAAAGATTCACATGGCAAAATAATTGTATAAGGCTGAAAAGGAGATATAATGATAGGACTAGAATCATATCCAAATAAATACTGGATGCTTATAAACCAACAGTATTGACATATGACTTAGGCACAAAAAAGAAAACATGTCTACTTTAAAAAATTATTAAATTTATTAAAATGGAAGATGGTAAGCATTGAGTTGGTTTTTAACCTCTACAATCCTAAATAAAAAATAAGAATTGATACCTCAAAATGATTTTCTTTTATTAGATGTTTGATTTAATTTGATCAGGTTTTGGTGGTATGATGCTGAATAACAAATAACTTCACAATTCCAATGACTTTCAAAGACAAACTTGTTTTCATGCACATGAAATCTGTGGATTAGCTTTGACGGCTCTGCTCTAGGATGTGGCTCAGGTCCAAATCTGTTCCTCACTTCTGTCATTTTCAGTCCTGGACATCATTATTAGCTTCCTCTTCTCATATAAGAAAATGGCAGCACAATCATGCAAGCGCACGGTATGCACTAAGTTTCATTAGCCAAAACAGGCCATGAAGCAGAAGCCAACATCAGTGCAGCAGGAAATATATTCCTTCTTTCCATGAAGATGAAGGAAAAGAGGAATATTTGCTAAAAACTGAAAGAATCTATCAAATATCTCTATGATGTTACATTCAGAGGACTTGTTTCGTTGCTGTGGTCTTAACAGTGTAGGATACAGTATATATAAAAGGAAAGAATTCAACTCTGATTTTTATGCTCCATACAAAATCAGCCTGTTGTATGACATTTATAAGGGCTACAGTTCTTGATCCAGCAAATATGAAAATAAGTACAAAAAACACAGATAATCAATCTCTGAAAAATTATAATTTATATATATTTTTTCATCTATACTTTCTAAAAAAACCTTCATGTACAATTGCTAAAATAATGTGGAACAAGTAACTAAAACATCACACATTTTGGCTTTTATTTGTTCATAATTTCAAAAGCACTCCCCAAATGACTCAGTTTAAATTCAGAAATCAAAATTGCAATTACAAAGTGTTTAGTGACTAATGTGATTTAAGACATGTGATCAAAACTAATGAGCTATAACAAAAGCTTAATTGTGAGACATATTCATAACCTCAAACCTCTCCATTTCTAAACAAAAAAGAATGAAAATAAAACCTTTTCACCTTATAAAATAGAAACAATAAAACACATCCAAGCAAATTATGAGAAACATTCTAAGAAAGAAGAAAATGAAATCATTACAGAACAACTGTCAATTTGTACTGTTAATTTTGACACTATGAACTTTAAAGTAAAATTGATAAATTGAAGGATTATTTTGGGGAAAGTAAGAAAATAAATATCAACAAAATGGGGGAAAGATAGAGATCATTTCCTGCTTTAAAGATTAGTATGATAAAAGGAGATTAATGAACTTAACTATAATTAATGTTTTAGATACGTGGTCAGTGATACGATTGCAGGTCCCAATTTACCAGCACAGAACTCATTAATCTTTCCTTATCATTTTGCCTTAGCAGTTTAAACAATTCTAGTAAGGTATTATATTATTAATTAAACATATTACTACTGTATAGTAATACCTTGGTTCACAAATGCTTTTATGTGTAAACAATTTGGTTTGCAAACAAAAGCATTCAACAAAATTGTGCTTCTGTTTCCCAACGGGGTGACAAACATGACCACAGCCATCTTCCCCACACAATCACAAATGGAGCTATGTTCCCCAAAATTGTGACATAGATTAAGCTTGCAAATGAGATACCACTGTATTTTATATTAGCAAGCAGAAGGAAAATTTTCCATTCTTCAATAAAATAAGATATATTATTCATTATAGAATTGTTTTCTTAAATCGTTGTTCCACAAAACTAATGCAACAGAAACCATAGCAAAATTCAATACATAGACCCATCATATGGATTGTCATTTTACAAATGAAAGGGATATGCCAATACGATAAAGAAATAATATCAGATTCCAAGGCTACCCAAGGAGAGATAGGCTAAAGTGTGATGGTTCTCGTTTCAATGTGATTTCTTGAAAAGCGGTCTCAATATGAGACTTTTAGAGGTAGAGTTAGTGGGAGGTCATTAAGTCTCGCTGGCAGTACAACCATTGAAAGGAAGTGAGGTAGTTATTCTGAGAACCTTTGGTCACTTTTCATGTGAGGGCTGTCAGAGAACCAAGTGTGATTTCTCCTGTCTTGTCTGGCTTCCTGTCTGGCAACTACATCTTTGACCTCTAAGATATTTAACGTAAATCTTCATTAATTTACGTATTTACATAAGAAACTTTCAACACACTTTCTGCTAAAATAGATTCATATAACACATGGTTAGAAAAAGTAACCAGAGCTTTCTAAAATATAAGCTGGATAAAGTTTAAAGCACGAAATATATTTAATAGATTCTGTCATTATTTTCCCAGAATTAAATCCTTCCAAAAATTGTTATTACTATGCTCTCGTCCCAAAGAGTTAAATTATATATAGGTTGCTTGAAAATAAATTTAATACCTTTAGATTGTATTTATGGGCCTTATCCAAAATAGTCGGTACCAAGTTATCAGTAGCTTCTCCATTCTCATCTTTTGAATCAGGGGGGTACCAAGATAGTGCAAGTACACCTAAGTGGAAAAATCAAAAAGAACATAAAAAAGAGACAAGAACACGAATGACTACCAGTATTCTAAAAAAGGTAGAAAAGTACTAAATTATTAACAGTAAAAAATAAACATACTCATTCAAACAATTTCTTGTATTCCATCAGACTGTGTAAGGTTATTTACTTTGTTTAGCTAATATTCATGAACATTTTATCAGGAATCGGTCTTTTTTAATTAATAGACTTTTCTTCAAAAGAATGAGTTTTAGGCCTACATGAGAGAAGCAAAGAAGGAATTCTCATATACCTCTTGCCAGCCCCCAATACTCTTCCTCAGTTTCCCCTATTGACATCTTGCATAACATTTTTTTATAAATGATGAGCCAGTATTATTAACTAAGGATCATAGTTTACATCAGGGTTCACCTTTTGTGTTGCAGAGTTCTGTGTATTTTGATAAATGTGTAAGGCCATATGCTCACCATTACCGTATCAGATAGATTAGTTTTACTATAGACCTCTGAGCTCCACCAATTTTTTCTGCCTCCCTCTCCCATCACCTCTGGCAATGACTAATCTTTTTATGGTCTTTATAAGTTTGCCTTTTCCATAATGTCATATAGTTGGGATCATAATATGGATGGCTTTCCTCACTGGCTTAATTCACATAGCAATTTGCCTTTCAGGTTCCTTCATATATGTCTCTTTATGACTGAATAGTTCATTTCTTTTTACTGCGGCATAATATCCATTGTATGGTGGGTATCCATTTATCGACCGGGAACATCTCGGAGGCTGCCAATTTTTGGCAATTATGAGTAAAGCTTTAATAAACATTCATGTGCTACTTTTTATGTTGTCTGTAATAACTTTAACAGAATATTTATAAAAATTAAAATAAGTATAGCTTCCCCCTGTAATATTTAATTACTTTTGCAATGAAAATTATGAGTATAAGAAGTATCAGTATTCACAGAAATCACTAAGTGGAGAGGAGATATTTAAGAGCAATTAATTCAAAACTTTATATACAGAGAATAAGGTGCTATTAGAAAGATGGTACTAATTTATATATCAATCAACAGAGTTTTTTAAATACAGAGAGAAAAATAAAAAAAGGTTATGGAAATTGGGATATATTAGGAAGTTTAGAAACTGCCAGAGACCTGAATTTTAAGACTTAAATTTTGTGGTAGCCAAGCTACGTATAGAAATTCTGTCAAGAGGAACAAGACAGAATGTTTATCAAAGTTAAGAGAAAAAAGTGTCTTATGTCTTCTACCCACTCTGAAAATAAAAATAGTAAGAACATGAAAGATTAAAAAAAAACAGGATATATAGGGCTACAGGGAATTTCTGGCTGGCAAAGAAGGATGTCATAATACAGAGAAGTTGATGAGTAGTTTCAGGAGAAATTTACCCTCCTATAAGCTGGAATTTGAGGTACCCACAAACCCAGCTTATACCATCAGTGAACAGTGACAATAAATATTTTATCAACATATAGCCTGTGAAAGAAATTTATTTTTGCAAAAAATAAATAGAAAGAATATACAATAAAACAAGGAAGAACACCTAACAGAGAGATTATGCCACGATATATATGAAAATTATGAGCAAAGCACTATTCTATGAAATTAGAAATGAGATAGTTTCTAAATACAGTGGAAAAATTTTCAGAAACAATTTGTCTCATAGTAAACCAACATGCTTTATGAAATCAATGGAAATTATTAAACAAATCACAAGAGATAAGAATTTCTTATAGCCAAACAAAGTAAGAAATTACCTAGCCAAATGGAACAGGGCTTGTAAACTAAGAGAAGTGAATGAGGAGGGAAGTCAGTTTGTCACAAGAGTAACTAGACTGATCTGGCTCTGGCTCTTAAAAACAGTGGACTACAACCTCACTTCACAATTTTTATGTAGTCCTAAGCTTTCAACTCAAGTTAATGTTCAAGGAGACTGGTATTTTCAATAGCTACCAGGCAAAAGCAAAAGCAAAGCAAAAGCAAATTTTCTTGCAGGAAGGAATCTTCTTCCTGACCTTCAAATTATTTGCAAAAAGTACCTGAAGGAAAAATGAATAGTGCACATACAAAGATAATCACGAACATAAAAAAACAAAACACCATGGGCAAAAATCAGCCAGTCATAAGAGACAACTGAAATAAAAATGCAAAAACTTCACATATTACACTTTAATACAAAACCTTCATAGTCTAAAAGATAAAAAGATAAGCATTGACTTAAAGCATTTTTGAAAATTGTCACATTGGCCCTTTTTCAAATCCATCTAATATTCTCTTGTGTCATCTATCCATTCATTTAAAAACAAACAGGTTCTCACTAAGTTGCTAAATAGCCCAGTCCATGTTTGAATTTGTAATCTTCCTGCCTCAGCTTCCCAGATGTGCTGGGATAACAGGCATGCACCACTATGTCTGCTTGGTCCCTCTCTCCCTCTCTCTCCCTCTCCCTATCTCCCTCTCTCCCTCTCTCCCTCTCTCCCTCTCCCTCTTCTTCTTCTTCTCCCTCTCCCTCTTCCTCTCCCTCTCCCTCTCCCTCTCCTTCTTCTTCCCCCTCTCTCTCTCTCTCTCTCTCTCTCTCTCTCTCTCTCTCTCTCTCTCTCTTCTTTCTCTCTCAGAAGCACAGCAGTATACCTAATGGAACAACCACGGGCTTTGAGCATGTGTTTAAGTATCTCATCAGTCTACTACTTCTACTACTACATCTTCTACTATCTACATCTTCTACTGCTTCATCAACAAAATATAAGTAATTCTTACCCTACAGAATATATTCTAAGTATGAATAAAAGAATTCAATTTATTTACACTTTGCCCTCTTCCTCTACTTACACACCTACCACACACATGATTTTTTGATGTCTTAACTTTATGGTCCCGATACTACCTCACTACTCTTTTTCTTCAACTTCAGTTAGTTCAATCCAGTCCTATGCTGTCCAGCATGATACCTACACGTCATATAAATTTCAAAAATTCTCATGTTCTTTCCACTAACCCAATTTCCATTACTCAAAAGCTACGTATGGCTCTTAATATCGCTACCAATCAAAATCTGCATATATAAGAAATATGAGCTTCTGCAACTGGGCAAGTAAAATGCACAGTTTAGTGATAACAGTAATTCAATCCACCTGGGTGTGTGAGGGTCCATGAAAATAGCTGTTCATTACTAAGTGGTTAAGTATTGTTGTTAAGTATGAAAGGTTTCTTATTTCATTATTACACTTGGGCTTATCTCATAATATAATAAGTTAAATATTGAAAAATAAAGTTTTGCCATATATATGCATAACAAAACTTCACATATATGTGTTTGTGTACACACACACACACACACACACACACACACACACACATTACAATTTTATATCCAGGCCAAGACAATACCTCTTCATTTGAAGTGGTCTGGAAACCAAAAGGCTAGGGCTTATGATAGTCTCTGCTATTATACAAGAAATTTAGTGTTTCTTTTAAATATCTCAAATATATGTTAAATTAAAGATTTAACAAAAAGAAAGGCAAGCTCATATCTAAACATAAATGTTATGATAATCGTACTGCTCAGGTGACATGCTTTTAACCAAAAAGGTCAAACTATTAAAAAAATCACAAAAAGCAAATAACCAACATAATTCAATAAAACTTTATATATGAAACAGGTTCTAGAATTATCATTGAAAAAAGTTTAAATTTATAATTACTATGGAAAAGATAGCAATCATTCAAGACATAATAGGAAATCTCACCAGAGAAATAAAAATTGTAAGAAACATGCTATAAAAATTCAAGAAATAAGAATCTTTTTTTTTTTTTTTTTAGCGGGTTTTGAACTTGGGTCCTTGTGCTTGCAAGGCAGGCCACCGAACCGCTGAGCTAAATCCCCGGCCCAAGAAATAAGAATCTTATGAAAAGATGAATAGTATCTTCTATTAGCTCATCAAAAGATTCAACAGAACCAAGGGAAGGATAAGAGTATTTCTTGACAACTCAAAAGGAATTACCATAACTGAAACAAAGGAAGAAAAACTGGGGGAACAAACAGAACAATACATTCAAACAGTTGTGGGATAAATATCAAATTTTTAGCACACGTGTAATCGGAAACCCAGAAAAGGCAAAAAGTATATTTGAACAAATAATTACTAATAATTATGCATAGTCAATGACAGACATAAAACAAGAGACCCAGGAACATACCAGAAAGATAATTTTAAAAAATAGTATAGCATTTTCAAACTGGTGCAAAACAAAAGCAATGAAAAAATTTAATGCAGCCTGATAAAAGAGACACACATATCCAGTAAAATGATGATATAAAAAGGTTTCTTAAAATTGCAGCAGATTTCAAATTAAAAAATGAAAAACAAAACAATGGGGTTTATATATATATATATATTTTGTTTATTTGTTTGTTTGTTTTGTTTTGTTTTGTGGTACTGGGGATCGAACTCGGGTCCTTGCGAGGCAGGCCACCAAACCGCTGAGCTAAATCCCCGGCCCCAATGGTGTTATATTTTTACTGTTCCAAAAACAAAAACAATTTAAACTCTGAAGAATCTGTCAATTGAGAATTATACAACAGATGAAGTATCACTCAAAATACGGAAAAACAAAACTTAAGAGTTCAGTGCAAGCTGACCAGTAATTCAAGAAATGTTAAAGGGATTTTTTAAGATATAATAAAGATGATACCAGATTCATACTTGGATCTACACTAAAAAATGGGGCAGGGCTGAGGATTTAACTCAGTGGTTCCGGCACCTGCCTCGCAAGTGCAAGGGCCCAAGTTGGATCCCTCATACAAAAAAAAATCTTAAATATCCTCAATCCTCACCTCTGCAGCTGGGCATGGCAGCGCTCGCCTGTAATCCCAGCACTCAGGAGGCTGAGGCAGGAGGATCGCTGTGAGTTCAAGACCAGCCTGGGCTACATAGTGAGTTCCAGGTCAGTCTCAACTACATAGTGAGACCCTGTCTCAAAAAAACCAAAA